ATCTATTGTATAATGTCAGATTTATTGTTGCCTGTGCAACTATAATTCTGTCCTTTTTGAACCCATGTGGTACACTGACACAGCAGATGTCCTGTAAAATGTGACTGTAGGGGTTCGGTCCGCCCCCACAGCGTCGCTTGTCGCCAACTTCGGGGGAATTGGCTCTGCTGGCGGCAATACTATCCGGTTCAGGCCACTGCTCTCCGACAGTGCCCACGCAGCCTGGGCTTTCCCCCTTCCGGGGAATGGGAAATAAGGAATAATTCATCCTTCCTCAGTTATGCCGAGGGGTGGGGGAGCAGGGTAGGGAGGAGAGGGGGGGCCCGGGCCCCAGCCCAGGGCCCTAATGGTGGCTGCAGGGGCTGCCACTGGGTCAGCAGGGTTCCTGGCTACAACATGCCGACCAGGTCAGTGGGTCAGTGGAGCCTCAGGCCCTTTAAATGGCTGCCAGAGCAATGCACTGCATGCTCCCAGCAGTTCGGAGGGCTGGGGCGTGCCAGCATGCTCCAGGTGGCTCTGAGGGCTGACTGCCCCCAACCCCACCCTTTCCACTCAAGGCCCCGCTCATTCTGGGAGCACAGAGTCGGGACCCCCACCCAAAGCCCTCGGAGGCTGTCAGTGCCCCTCCATGTAGCTCTCCATCTATGTAGGCTCACTGCAGAATTGCTCAACTTGCATCCTGCAGCTGGGGTTCAGGAGGAGCATACAGACCAAGGAGTCTGTAACAGGGCTAAAAGTAAGGGGGTGAGTGAAAATTAAGCATCACCTGCATCCTGACAGTCTGTCACTGGCCTGGTACTGATGAGTTGGATAGGAATGGAGACTTAACCATGTAAGACCAACTATGTGGGAACCCCTCACCCCCAAAGGGGAAGCATGAAGAAATAGCCAGTGTGCCCCCTCAGTGAACAGTTAGTCACAGTGACCATCTAAAAAAATAAACTATTATCAAAGAATATGTAAGTGGGAGCAGAATAAGGTATCCTAAACAATCACAATTTTGGAATTTCCTAGATTTTGAATGTTTGACTTTGCAAATTAAAGTTCTTTTAGCCTTTTGTGAAGGGCGGGCAGGGAGAAGGCAAGAGGCGGACAGGATAAAGTAATTTCCTAGGTTATTTAAAAAGGAGAAATATAAAAATTAAGCACATGCAACACCTTTAACATGCATCATGTTGAGAGTTTTCCAAAAGTGGGGATGGATTGCTTAGGTCTGGGAGTGGTGTGGTGTACACCACAGTAGCCAGACAGCCCCCCCCCCCCCCCATCTTGCTTGCCCTCTGAGATGTCTGTATACAGGGAAGAGAAGGAACAATAAGAAAATCAGCATAGCCATTAAGCTTTGATCTGCTTTGATGCGAGACCAGGATATGTGAGTTTCTCTGACTGAGTAACGATTAAGGCAATAAACTGAGCTCGAGGCTGCAAGAAGTGCCCGGCTGGCACCCATGTTGATTCGAACACACACAGTCCCTGGGAGAGGAATTTCCCACTGAGAAAAAGAATGCCCAGTACTTCCAATTTAATCCTCTCAACTCTCTCTTACAAGTGTAAATTAAGTTCACAACTCCCTTGTAACAACTGGTCTCACGAAAGACAGACCAGCACCATTTGGCATCACAGATAAGAAACAGAAATATGTGACCCAATGGGTATAAAGATGGGTACACCAGCACACTCACTTTGAGTGTCAAACTACCCTCTACCTGCTGGTCGGGCTAGGTGTTTTGACCTCCCGAGGTTCCACGGGGACGCCCACCTCGTATTTTCGTCTTTCCGAGGAATTGAGGGACCGATCCTGGCCTGACACGCTGGGACCGAGCGACGCATAAGGGGGTAAAAATTGTACCCGTATGTGTCCTTTTGTTTTAGTGCATGCATAGAATAGAGCTCTTTAAAGATTAAGCTGTCATTTGGTACCATTGTTTTCTATTTCCTATCTTTATTTTCTTTCTCATTCACTTATAAAATATATATATATTGAACCAAGTTTCTTTTATTTTATTTTCTCTTTCTTTCTTCTATAATAAGCCAGTGAGTGTCAAGCTTCTGACTTGAACCCGTGCTGCTGTACCCGAACCGAACACAAACAAAAGAACTTCAGCCGGTCAAAGGGACAGGTATAGGGAGAGCTTGGGCGTTTGGATTGTGTCACTCCCCGGTGGCAGATCCATTGGGGCACTTCTCAGACTTTCCCTAAGGCTGCCCGCTGCGAAGGAATTACGAATTCTAGCAGCTGAAATCTAAGATGTTATAAGCTCTCTCTGTAAACTCATTGGGCGCCCGTCAACCTCCTCCAGGTTGCCCGCTGCAAGGGACCCCGGTCCCAGCAGTTGAAGTCTCGGGTGTATAGCACATACACACTGCCCTGACCATCGGCTGACAACCACACATGTGCTGCTCAGAGACAGAATGGCAGGGTTAGGGCCATGTGTTGGATCACTTTCAACCTTGAAGAGACCATGGATTGTCTCTCTCTCTCTCTCTCTCTCTCTCTCTCTCTCCAGCAGCTTCTGCCCCTTGCCTCCAGACTCACATCTTGTCCCTGGGTGACAGTGGGAGGAAAGGAAAAACAGGCTGATGTGGTCACATGCTGGGGTAGTGGCTAGGAGCCCATCCCAGTTCCTGCCCCATATAGCATCCCCACAGGAAGAATGGGACATGTTCAGAGTTAGAGGGGAACCCACAATGGTTTTTTTCCCACTCCATCTTCCTCTACTACAACTGCTCTGGAAATCTCTACAAGTTCCCTGTGCAATGTTTGCTATTGCTCTATGACAGCCCAGTCTTAGAATGATAGTGCATTTAATTACTATTTGTTATTTTTGGAAGGCTGCTAAAATTTTCCTTAAGAAGACTGCCAGAAAAGGGAAATGGTTGTTTTTAACTGCTCATATGTTAGGAAATTCTGGTCAAAATTTCCTGATCCAAGAAAAGGCACTTCCATAGCCAGAGGGTATCCACCCTCTTGAGAACAATGCAGATGTGAAAACTAAAAGAGCTAGCTTGAAGCTAAGGATGTTAAAATGTGTTTCAATATGTAATCATGTAACCACAGGCTCCCATCTCCTCCACCCCCGTGCTGCTGCCGCCTCCAGCCAGCTCCTCGTGCACAAGGCTCCGGCTTCCCTCCACGGCTACCTCTAATACAGAGACTCATTGGTTAACCATATAAATGGTTATACTTTCACATCCCTCATCGAAGCTAGCGTAAGTCTGTATGGGCATAGAAATTCATGTACATATTCTTTTGAAAGACTTGTGTAAGCAGAAAGAACTGTAAGTTACTAATCTAAGTTTCCTTGTGTGGAAAAAATTTTTGGTTTATGATATAACCACCATCCCACATCCAGACACATACAAACTCTAACAGGTGATTTTGTTCTTACAATGATTCCTGAGAAGTAAGACTTACACTTCTCTTAAGGTAAACCTCAACTCACAATTTTTTGTATTTAATCAAGACAATCCATTTCACTAAGTCACTGTGGATTACATTTGTTCAGAATGAACATTCTTTTAGCTATGAATCTCAAGAAGTTCATATTAGTGGCTGTAAACAGGTATAAAGTATGCACAACAAATCCTCTTTAGCGGGCTCAATATAAGCATGGCACAGCACTGTGTAAACTTAGCTTTTACAATGTCATTTAGTTTACTGAGACAGTACAACACAGTGCTATATGTAGTGTAGCACAGCTGGAGTCTAAATCACACCACTCCCAGCTCTCATTTTATCATAATCCTTGTCATATTTGCAATTTTTTAATTTAAGTGCCAGATCCATGAAAGGCGTGAAACTCAGTTTTTATTTTCTAACAAGGAAGTTTGTGTCTTTGTGGTGAGGAAAGGGACACGTGAAAACAGATAATCTCCAAAAGGTAAGTAAAAAGAATCCAACGTACATGTTTTCAATTTTTTTGGACTTACACGACTTTTGAATGCTTGGGGTTGATACTATTGCTACCTCCTCGAGTCAAGACAGGTCTACTCTTAGAAACAACATTGTACACAAGGCCTTAATTCACCAATAAATATTGTTCATCATATGAGAAAAATCGTTTAACAGATACCATATCCTCTTTTTTCACTTTTGTTCAAATGTTGATACCAACAGCTGCCAGAAAAAAGCTTAATGGGAAATGGTGAGGGTGGAAAAAGAGAAGACGACCTAGAGGGAAAAGCATGATCCTTAGTTCCACTCACTGACACTGAAACTGAAAAGGAGGATAAGATACATAGACGACACCTTCACGTTATGCCCCGGCGCTCGACGCGTCGGGGCAAATTCTGGTCCTGTCATCACAGTTCAAGTATAAATCTCTGGCCCAGCAGAAACCTGCCAATGTCCGGCGAGAACGACGCTGGGTGTAAAGTCAGCTCCCCCGCCCCTCCCCCAGGAGTGAAAGTAGGCACGGCCCTGCCTCCGCCCCGCCTCCCTCCCCCCCAGCGCAGCTGTGAGGCCGAGGAGCCGCGCCGGGTCCTGGCTCCCAAAGCGGGCAAGGTCCGACGCGTGGGCACGCTAAGCCCGGGGCTTCCCCGGGGCCCGTTCCACCTGGGCGACACCACAAGCCCGGACGGGTCAGCCCGAGGCGGGCCCTAGCCGAGGAGAGACTAAACGGCTCGGGGCCAGC